CTGGCAAGGGACGCCCTGGCGTAGTAAGCCACTGCTTGGCAAGTTGCTACCTTAGCTCTGCAGAGAAGCCCCCTTTGGCTGCTTTGCATCGGCCCTTTCTTCCAAGGGCCTCTACTTTGGAACACAATGTTCACACGACGGTGTGACACTCGGTTCACTGGCGGGGGCCATTCAGCAGGGAGCATGCGTTCCCCCTTTGGGCCAGAAGAGGCTTGCCCCCTTCATTCTGCCGGGGCTGCTTCTGCCCCCCCGGAGACAGAGCTCTGCGGATATCCGCCTTTGGTGCAACACCACCTTTCTGCGGTGGGAGGCTTTGCTTTTGAAATCGGTCTTTCTGTAGGTATTTTGTACTTCCTGCTTTGATGAAGCACATGCCTAGTGCGTTTTTGAGAAACAAGCTTTCCAGTTTTACTTACAAGGTGTCATTCAGGGGTGGGGGACACCAAGCAAGCCACAAAAAGCCCTAAGACTCGGAATGCAGGAAGAGGCATGGCAGCGGCTTGGACTCATCAGGAAGTACCCTCCTACCTGAGACCTGTTGTCCCAGTGCTTGTGGAGCTGCCATACCTCGGCCGTTTCTGATCCCACCACGGGATCTGCCCCGGCTGCTTTCTGGAGGACGAGCAGAGAGAGTGGTACCTCCAGGAAGGCTTTTGCCCGGTGCTCCACGCCGTCTTCGCCTGCAGGGCCGTGTTGCTCTTCCAAAGGCAGCTCTGGAAAGCAGCAAAGAGACTTCTTGGAAGTGCACAACAGCCAAAGAAACCCCCCACCCCGAAGCCCTAGAGCAGCTCTCTTCTCAGGCTGTGACAACACTCAGTGCCTCCTCATACCTGTGGATCTGTCCATGGGCGCTGGTGACTGCGCAGCTGAAGGGCTGGGAAGGCCAGCCATCTCCTCCCCAAAGATGTCACAGCACTTTTCAATCAGAAACTCCACTAGTGCATTCACCTGCACACAGCAAGCCCTTGGTCTCAAGCCAGGTGCATGAAAACAAATCAAGCAGCCTTCCCCACTCCTGAGCCTTGCCTCTGCGCAGAAGGCTGTGGGGCTGCTCTTGCAGGCAGCCAGCCCAGCAGCATTTGCTCAAGAGAGGAGGCAGCCAGGCACTTCTCAACAGCCAAGCCCTGACGGGCCGGGAAGGCTGCAGACGGCTGCTCCATGCAGCGTACCTTCTCAGTGGCCTCCAGCATGGCCTCCAGCGGGAGCAGCTCCTCGTTGGCTGGGCTCAGCAGGTTTGGCCCAACACAGATGGCCAGGTTGCTGCAGCCCATCCTGCTGGTGGCTGCGTTGTGGCCAATGTGCTGGAGGAGGGACAGCAGGCGCTTCAGGAGGAGGAGGTTGGCCGCAGGCAACTTCTCGGCCACCCTGGGGGAACCAGAAGACAATGCTGATAGAGCCTATGTTGCCCACAGCTGTCCCCCGGCTTGCCCAAGGAAGCTGAGATCCAGCGGCTCCCATGTGTTGCACAGCTTTGCAGGGGCTCTCAGCTAGCGGCCAGGGCTCCTGCTCAACAGGCAGGCAGGCTGAGGAACTTCAGGAGGAGCAGGTTGGCCGCAGGCAACTTCTCGGCCACCCTGGGGGAACCAGAAGACAATGCTGATAGAGCCTATGTTGCCCACAGCTGTCCCCCGGCTTGCCCAAGGAAGCTGAGATCCAGCGGCTCCCATGTGTTGCACAGCTTTGCAGGGGCTCTCAGCTAGCGGCCAGGGCTCCTGCTCAACAGGCAGGCAGGCTGCTGCCCACACTCACGCTTTCAGCTCTTCAATCTTCTCCTCCTTGCTGGCCTTCTGCATCGCTGCCATCCAGTCCTCGTAGAGGCCGTTCACGAGGAGCTTGGCAGGGATGCTTCGGAGGAAGTCCTGCAATGCCAAGGGCTCCAGCTGAGCCTTGGAAGAGTCCAGGCGAGCCACGAGCTCTTCCAGCTGCAGGTCAGAAGGGCTCACCTTCAAGATGACGGCCAGCAGCAGCGCAGGCTGGCTTCCCACGTCGACATCTGTGCCGCGGTCCAGGGCCTCCCGCAGCTCCCGAACTTCTGTCCCGCTGGCAGCTCTGCGGAATATGCCCTCCGTCGACGGCCCTTCGCGCTGCAGGACAGCCAGCAGCTCCTGCAGGAGAGGCAGGAGGACACTTGCTTGGCTGAGCAGATGCCTTCCAACAGCCGTGGCCAGAGCACTGCCCAGATCTGGCTCCTTGCCTACAAAGGCGCTGGGAGCAGCAGCCTGTTCTGGGGGTGAAGAGCCCAATCCCCCATCCCCACAGCTCCTGGGGACACTCCCTGCCTCTCCACAGCAGCCGGACGGTGGGCGGGATGGGGCCCCGCC